ACACAATGATTCTTATATTCAGGTGATTATACACTAATGAAAACATACCTATGAATATTATATTCCATTTCTGAGAAGAGAGACTCCTAAATGTTACACACTGGACCTTTAAAAAAGTGTATGGGGGATTTGCATCATACGATGTGAACAAACACCAAATTGAAGTTAGTCTCATACAGCCTCAAATCATGTATGTCCATGACCTGAACCATGAACAGGTTGCTATATACACAGCAATGCGATTTATTTATTTTAACTCAGAACAACTATTGAAACAGTTTTCATCAGAAATTTGAAGTAACATCAATTTAGTTTTCTAAGTTCAAAAAGATTTTTGTAGGCTTTTACTAGTAAGTTTGAGCGACACTAGCTTAGTTCAGTCAGTCAACTCACATTTGAAATGTTTACTACAGCAGTATAGCATATTTAGATTTTGGCGTCTAAGCTCCAACCTCATCACTCCCTGCAGATATGTTTACATAGAGATATTGGGGATTGATGAGCAAATACCTTAAACCCTAGCCAGAGCCTACAGGTGGATGCAGTGGCATTGACAGAGCAGAGGGAGAGCTGGGAAACTGTGCAGTTTAAATAGACCACCAGATTGGAAGGGTGCGCTGGGTTAGTGATTATGGAGTGAGGCATGTCATGTGTGTATAGCAGCACAGCTCGAGTTGACTGACTCCATTTGTGAAAAGGCATTTTGGATACTGGAATAAAAATAAAAAACTGTGGGTCAATGTGTTTGTATTGTAATACCCATTCTGAAAGTCTTAAATCTAAATCTAATAAATCTAATAAATAATAAAAACTGAACTAAACCTAAACATTTTCAAACAATAAAAAATAAACTGAAAATAACTGAATTAAAAACAAAAAATAAAATAAAAAATAATAAAAAAACTAATTATAGTAACTCTGGTTGCAATGACAAACTTTCAGCGCCGCATGATACACTCTAATAATATAAACTCATGATATTTGTTTTTCTACATATATTTATAATTAATAATCTGGAATGACATACTGGTCAAACGTGCAGAGGAATATATGAGCAGTTTATTCAGGTTGTTGTGTATGTAAACATGTCTGTGCAGTTTGTGTATGTATATGCAAGCCTGTTTTCATGAGTGTGTTTGACCCGTCGAGTGCCCGCTGGGCGCTGCAGCAGTAATTAGCCCATCTGTTTGAGAGCGATAACGAAGCGGACGGTGCCGGCGATTGCCAGTCCTCCCTCCTCCTACTCCTCCTCCTCTCTCTCTCTCCCTCTCTCTTTCCATGCCCATTATCTAATAAGAATTTAATTAGAGGGACTGGCTGGGTGCAGGGGAAGCGGTCTCCTTGACACTGGAGAGTATCACCAAATCGATGCTTTTCACCAGCTGTGAAGAGGCAAAGAGGCTTCAAACTCTGCTTCTTCAGCAGGAGGACTCATTCCACTTCACCCTGAGGAATTCATCTCTCTGCAACATGTTGGAACTGTTCTCCCGTTACCAGTGACTTTTGATTTTCAGCTATGGGTTTGAGAGGGGTGACAAACTTCAAAACACTGACAGACTCTCTGGCACTGCAACCGCATTTCCTGTGTTCTAGGCAATACAGGAAGTGGACATTTACTTAGACAGACTAGAAATACAGCTTTTTCACCACAGAGGAAGACTTGTACAGTTTGTGTTGCTTGTTTCCTGTGTGGGGAGGACTATCTGTGTTATCAGAACAACAGGAAGTTACAGAAAAATGACTCGCCCGGCTCCAGCTCTGTCAGAGAGATCACCCCCCAACAGATGGCACACAAAGTCTTTCATCTGTCTTGATTAAGAAATACTTAAAGAGACACTCCTGCCAAAGGGACTTTTATAAAAGATTATTTTTCTGTCCATCACACAGATTCCAGAGATTCGAAGTTATCTTGGTATTAAGAGATTCCTAAAAAACTCTTTATCAGTGATGCTGCTGCTGGTTGTCCCACCTGTGGCCATGATGAGTCCTGGTGCAGAGTCCTTGGATAAAATGGGCATCCTCCTCAGCTGGATGTTGAACAGCTGGCTCCAGCGCTGGGCCAGGTGGAGTGAGCAACCTTTACTGAGCTGAACGGAAGAGGGAGGGAGAGAAGAGGAGAGGAGAGTCAGAGGATGTCGTTTAGTAGTTTTCAAAACTCTTCTTTTTGCTTTAACACCCAGTTACGTCACAAGACTCAGGTCAACTACTATACAGAGAAAGAACGAACTAGAAATAGAAAGTAAGGTTAGAAATGTTGGTTTGCCAAAATGGATCAGTATCAGGATATAATGTGAAAGGTTGTTATAACAAGATAGTTTTATTGTTATTACGACATAGTTATATCCTGGTATAACAAGAAACCTATTTTGTAATAACGGTAAATGTGTCAGGGTATAACATGATGACTTATGTCATAACAATATACGCTATAACGATATAACGTGGAACAACACAAGTTGTAATGTTTAACGTGAAATTTAAAAAAAACGTTTTAACAAGATAAATATTATATTGCTATAACAACATCATAATGTGATATGTTTGTATGCTGTAATGGCGTGAAAGTATGTTGTTATAATGTGATATATACATATTTTATTACAGCAATAAACATTTCAAGTTATAATGTGATACTGATTGGTTTTTATTTCTCTGGCATGGCAGCAATACGCTGCTATTGGAATTCAGTACAGATCAAAAACACCTCCAGTATAAAAGGTTTGATCCTTTTTTTATACCATAAACTACCAGCAGGAGTCAGTTTGCATAACTCAATAAAACTTGTGACATTCTGCCTCAATGAGCTGTCATTATCAAAAATTATCACTTTCAATTTCATTACATAAAAAAGTCTGCAATTTAGTGATTTAGTTATAAATAACGGATCTGAGCACAGAATACACAAGCAGCTCTAATGCACAAGTATTGGTACAACAGTAAAATATAACTAGGATACTAGGATGCATGAGAACAAGGCTGTAAGCATGATTACTTTAAGTTTTGCTTTATCTATCAATTCCTTAATTATTGTTGTTTGTTGAGTTTGTCTATAGATTGTCAGAAAGTAGGGTAACATGCCCATCACCAGAGCTTTAAATTGCATGTTTGGTCTGACCCAATCCACGCCTGGATTAATTAACCTGCTTATCCCCTACTGAAGCCCCACCTAAATGTGTGTGCGTGTACCCAGTGCAACCAGTACTCCTATGCTGGAAAATACTTGTGTTCATTTATCATTTAGTTACACCTATCTTGAATATACGTATATATAGAAATATATAATCATATGAGTACAATATATATAATGACACCACCTGCCTTATGGTTGATTTTGTACTTCAGTGGTGCAAATTCCACAACAAATTTGCAATTAATCAAATTACCAAAACCAATTAATATACAAAAAACCTCTGCACTTCAGGGACTGGGGCCACAGGGCCCAACTGTAATTGTAACCCAGCTTTGTGACCCACAGTCCAGAATCCAAATATATTCCATTTAAAGAGACAATTGTTACATCAGAGAAGCTTTTGCCACAGACTAACTATTAATCAATAGCCTGTTTGCACATGATGTATGGCACAAACTGCCGATGGAGGGCAGGAAGTGATTATCTACATGAGAAGCACTTACAAACTCTCAAAAGTTTTTGTGGATTTTTTTGGGGGGTGCTTTTTATGCTTTTTTGACATGCAGCAAAGGGCCACAGGTTGGAATCGAACGTAGCCGTATGCTATATCTAGAATATTTTCACCACTTTACCTTGCAGTCAGACAGCCCTTTCCAACAGGGAACTGAGTCGTTATATCTATCCACGCTCTGTTCAAAGCCACCACTTTGGTGTTTTAACAAGTATGGATCACCAAAGTCACACAGTAACACAAACTGTGTACCTGGCAGTCCACGGTTCCTCCCAGGCTGTCGGCAGCAGGCGGCTGAAGCAGCTCCCATGTCCCCCCCTTGTCGAAGGTGATGACTGATCGCATGTTGTCCTCGCTGACCGAGCCGTTGATGAGTGTGGCGATGAAGACTCCGCGCAGCCCCTCCACGCGGTGCAGGTCTGCAAAAGGCTCATTGGCAAAGTACCTGAAACAGAGATGGGATACACCACCATCATCATCATCATCATCTTCATCAGGGTCAGGGAGTAACACATATTTGCTTAATGTACCACAACAGCTGATACAGCAAATTAATGAGCAATGATTTGCTTTCATTAAAACACCATTTACTTTTAGAATAGAGATGTTGTCACTCTTTTTGTAATTGATGCACTTTTCAAGGACAAATTATTTCAAAATTAAGGGCCATTAATTCAGATTTTCACATACACTGATCAGCCATAACATTACGAATAATATTCTGCAGCCCCATAGCAACAAACTGCTCTGCACTGTGTGTTCTGATACTTTTCTATCAGAACTCGCATTAACTGTTTCAGCAGTTTGAGCTACAGTAGCTTGTCTGTTGGATCGGACCACACGGGCCAGCCTTCACTCCCCACGTTCATCAATGAGCCTTGGCCA